AAGAAGGAAGAAAAAGTATTCTGCCTTGAAAGGTAGGTGCACAGTAGATTTACTGTCAGATTCATTCTGAAACACAAAGGCCGGTGCTGTAGTGGCTAGCGCGTTGTGCACGAATATGAAGGGGAGTCCCCTCCTGGTCCATAACAATTTCCGATAACGGGTACCGTTCACGACACCACTAAGTCCGCGCGCCCTTGCTTCTAAGAAACAACGAAAACAACTCGTTGATCAAAGTTCGAGGTATGTATCAAGAAACAGAAGGACATTTGAAACTTGGCTAAAAACAGTCAAAATAGGGCACAAGAACGAGCGCAGCTGCTGAGCTGCCTACGTCCAGTTGGTACGCATCGCCCATCCAATGCATGTGCGCCACCTCTAACTGCTCGAATAGTCGTTTACTTTCGCGCCGACGTCACTCACTAATCTTTACTTTTCATTTGCCACCTTGTAAATATAAATTTAGCTTTCACGTATGTCTAGGTCTCATATACGGTTACGTGAAAGTATTGCGGAGGAATACCCTGACAAGACTGAAAGCTAAAATTTTGACGTTGTCAACAAAAAAATCATGTTATTCACTTTGATAACCAAAAGGTTGGAATATTTTTTGGATAGTTTTGTCAAGTTAAATGCATGAGTATCGGATGCACCATAATCTATAAGGACAATTACAGTCCCGCTGGTGACAAATTTCAAGCAATTTTCTGCTGGTAAAGCTTCCGATGGCTTTTTTTTTCAAATTTTTTAAACTAATTAAAATCGTTCGCAGTTCTGCATTTCTTGATTCAGTTATTTTATTTTCAAGTTAATGATTTGTACTCACGGCGACTTACTTTGGATCGCTCTAGTAGGCTCGAGTACTTGCCATGGTAGAGAAACAGTCGATTCAGAGTCACTTGCATGAATACGGCATATCCATGCACTGAAGTGTGGTTTGGTGCCGCAAGCCGAACATCGATCGCTTTCTCTCCTCAAACATTTAGCTGTTTGGCGAAATCAAACTTAGCATTTCAGCGCTACTTAAAAGAGGAAATTTAAATAAAAGAAGCAGAATTAACCAGAAGAGAGATATAATGGCCGGTGCTTTCTTCATAATTCAAATTTAATTTCAAACCTGCAGTTGCCGAATTTAGCTCGAATTCACCATTTGGAAATTCAGTATCAAACTGGCAAATTTTTCTAACACAAAGCGTTGTTTTATGTCTGATTTTCTTTTTGGATCTACTATTATTTCAGTTTATCTTTAATTCATTTCTTAATCCATTGTTTTTGAAATCTCTTCGGTGCTTTTTTTTTTAATTGCTCAATTTCGCTGCTTTTCTTGCTGAGTTACTAATCGGGCATATTTTAGGGCTTACAGAGCAAGCTCGATTATTCTGCAGTGAAGCTGAAGAAGGCAGAAACTAAATCGCATTATCCGGAATTAATGCTTATACGAGTGAAAGGTAGCGCTTCTATTTCTTCTTTCGCCTTAGTTGTCCTAGAGATGCGTTACCTCTCGAGTTGGAAGCACCCATCCGCTTAAAAGTTTTGTCTATCTTTACGCCGGTTTTTTCCAGTTTTAATGCTTGCGTTTTGTGTGAGTATTCAATTTTGATTAAGTGAAGTTTTTGTCAAAACCCCTTCCTTATTTCGTTCTTAGTGTGAGGTGGAGGCACTTGAGAAGTAGCCCAAGTGGTATCAAATACCAACAGCAGCCATCCACTGGCGAGGCTGTCGATGACTCCATCTTCTCAGGGTTCCTTACAAGCAAGCAAATTCGGGTGTGCACAGAACACAAGCATCAAACGTTTGACTCCCTGGCCAGTATGAATTTACCATCGAGACGAATATTAGAAAGGCTGGTTAACTGCGGTTTTATTACTTTAATATTACTGAAATGGCAAGGAATTTGGATGAAAAGGAAGAGAAGTGACCAGCAAGATAGACGCCGGATTCAACTGTGGGCGCTAGACGCCAAAAATAACTAAATTTTGTTGTTTATTAAACAAAACTGGAAGTGGAGTGAAGACGAGGAAGTTCGATTCATTATAGCGATTTCACTTACACAAGCATTTTTGAGCTGGGTTTGACACCCTTCTGGCTGGTTCTACTTCTGTTTTATTTGAATTTTCTCTTTTAGCTAGTGCTGAAATGCTAAGTTTAATTTCGCCAAACAACTAAATGTTTGAGGAGAGAAAGCGATCGATGTTCGGCTTGTGGCACCAAACCACACTTCAGTGCATGGATATGCCGTATTCATGCTAGTGACTCCGAATCGACTGTTTCTCTACCATGGGAAGTACTCGAGCCTACTAGAGCGATCCAAAGTAAGTCGCCTTGAGTACGAATTATTAACTTGAAAATAAAATAACTGAATCAAGAAATACAGAACTGCGAATGATTTTAATTAGTTTAAAAAATTTGAAAAAAAAAGCTATCGGAAGCTTTACACTAGAAAATTGCTTGAAATGTGTCATCAATGGGACTGTAATTGTCCTAATAGGTTATAGGTTATACCTCTTCTCAATATGCATTTCTGCAATTTGTATATGTCCAAAAACGCACAAAAACTACATAAAAATTCATTTTTTCATTGACTTCTTTTCCCATTTTGTATGCACACTTGCGCAAGCACAGATAAATGTTGGAAGCAAGAACTGAATTTTAAAAACTAAGTTACAAACTTCCAAAAATGGCAGAATTTTTGGCACTGGCCGTTCCGACGAGATGATCAACACAGATCACATTTTTTTGGCTGGAAGAGAGCTGAGCAATTTCCCACTACATTTCTTACTGACACAAGACCCTCAGCAAATTGATACCCTGGAAATATATACTATGCAGTGACCCTCAACGCACCTAGAGAGTGGAAGGAAATAAAATCAACGGTCGCCTAGACTACTCATGTGATGCTTGATGTGTGTCAGGGAACACACTGGCAAATCATCAGCACCTAAGTCTGCATGGCTGTGAGTAGAAATGCTAAGACAGACATACAAAAATAATACACAAACATACATACATGCATACATACATACACACAGAAATACCCACCACAAGCTGTCACAAAATGCGCTTCCGCTGGCTGTTGTGGTCAAGAGCACCGCATCGCAAAAACGCAGCAAAAACATATAACTGACCTCTTTTCAAAACCTTCCAATCCAAAAAAAGCTTGTGGAAAAAGCACGAGAGCGAGTTATCAATGTCTATTATGAGCATGTGCATAGGAATAACCAACTGAAGAATTTATGCTCTGAAAACATTGAACTGAAGCACAGAAAGTTCACCGTCAAAATAGCGCAAACAGAAGTATTCATCAGCCGTATGTCAGCTAAACAAAACCAGCACGCAAATTTTACGAAACGCCGGCATTGTTTCGTATAATCGATAGAGCAAATCATTGGGATCTGGCAGTGGCGGTGTCCTTTTTAAGACGACATTTTCAATGCTTGACAGACATTACTGGCATCTCAAAAATGCA